TAATAGCAAAGTGTCTCCTCCGTTACTTGGGAAACCAGAAAACTCTCTTTTTATATGATGCTAATGAGTCACGGCACTTTTTAAACAGGATCCGGAAATATAACTCATGCTTTCAAATGACGTCCTTCGGAGTTAACCGGGAAATAATAATGCCGGGATTTTCACCTACATTTACGGTGCAAGGGCAAATTTATCATAGAATAGGTTCACTTTTTCCAGCTGAAAACGAACGAAATTTTTACAAGTATATTTCATGGGTGACGAAGAAATTGAGGTAGAACATCGTTGCCAATTCATACAGGGAGTTGAGAGAGACACAGTGTTCAAAATTCAAAGAGTCTTGCATGATCGTAACATTTTAGTCAAAACATTTAAAACTGCTTTAGAAAACCTACATTATAAAGTCGTCATTCACGCCGATCGGACCCCTCGAGGAGAGCATGAAGGGCGCTACAATGCACCTTTGATAAACGAAATAGCAGCCGTAATTAGTGGTGATCAATTTTCTTCACAAGACATTGTCTTGCGAGCACGTGATGATACGTCGCAACGGGTAGCCGATACACACAAGTTTTATGACGCTCTGCAATACCCATTGATTTAATGCAAAGGACAAGAGGGTTATCATTTTCAAATTCCACTCATTAACCTGGTCACAAAAGAGCCTACTCCGAACAAAAAAGTGTCATGTAAAATCTTTAATGTGACAATCATTTCATCAATTTTTGGTAGACATGTATGTGAAGGTAGAAAGTGAACGTCTCCATTATATATATTTAAATCAAAAAAAGCTGCGCTTTGAGAATTATATACATTTACAAGATACAGTTGCTAGCGACGCCAATGTAAACCCCAGAGATTTAGGTAAAATGGAAATTCTGCATTCATCATTTGTTAACAGTCCCCGCTACCTACATGAGTACACACAAGACGCATTCGCCTATGTACGAACTTACGGAAGACCTGATCTTTTTGTTATTTTACTTGCAATCCCACATGGAAAGAAATAACCGAGGAGCTAATGCCGGGCCAAAAAAAGTACTGACAGACACGATTTAGTTGCTAGAGTATTTAGATTAAAAGTACAAAAATTAATGTATGTAATTAACAAAGGGAAAATTTTCGGAGAGGTGCAATGCTTCATGTATTCAATTGAATGACAAAAAAGAGGATTACCGCATGCCCACATTCTAATATGGCTAAAGAGAAGTTGCCGCTCAGCTAAATAGACGACATAATAAGCGCCGAGATTCCGGATCCTGAGCAAGATAAAGAATTGTATGATACCATCGTTCGAAATATGATTCACGGTCCATGCGGAGCATGAGTTTTTGACAAAGTATTAGGACAAATGGAATCTGGAAATGGTGCACTGTTATATTTAGATGCCCCTGGAGGAACTCAGAAGACATTTTTGTTAAATTTGTTATTAACGTAAGTACGGAAAGATAAAAACATTTCTGTGGCCGTAGCTTCCTCCGGTATAGCCTTCACGTTGCTAAGCGGGGACCGCACTGCACATTATGTTTTAGAACTCCCTCTAAATCTAGCCTAAGAAGAATCGCCGATCTGCAACTTTAACAAAAAATAGTGCACGAGGTATAATGATACGACAATGCAAACTTTTAGTGTGGAATGAAAATACAATGTCGCATAAAAAAGCTGTAGAATCACTAAATCGAACGCTCAAGGATTTGCGCAGCAATACCGATATAATGGGAGGAATGGTGGTTTTACTAGCTGGTGACTTTCGCCAAACTTTACCTGTCATTCAAAAGGGCACACCTGCAGATGAAATTAAAGCATGCCTCAAGTCGTCTATTTTATGTAACAAGGTAACAAAATTCAGTTTTACTACGAATATGAGAGTGCATTTGTATAATAATATTAATGCTGGAAACTATGCTGACACACTATTAAAATTGGTGATGGGCGCTTGGAAACGGATGCTGAGGGCTGCGTTAAATTGACGAGAGATTTTTGTAATTTAGTACAGAGTCATTCCGAATTAATTGCGAGCGTTTATTCAGATTTAACGAACAACATGCATGAAGACAAATGGTTATGTGAAAGGGCGATTCTTGCACCAAAAAATGAGAGCATTAACAAAATAAATTCAGATATATTAAGCGAAGTAGAAGGAGAAATAACAGAGTATTTGTCAGTTGACACAGTTATGGACACAGAACAGAGCACTTCATATCCCGCAGAGTTTCTAAATAGAAGATAGAGTCTCTAGGATTGTCAGATGTGCCCTCACATAAGCTTCAAATAAAATTAAGCGTCCCAGTCATCCTAATGCGAAATTTAGATGCTCCTCGGTTATGTAACGGGACAAGTCTGCGTGTGACACATCTTGGACGGAACATAATCGGGCCTACAATTTTGACAGGCGTAGGAAAAAGTGAAAATATTATTATACCACGGATCCAAATAATTCCCACAGATCTTGTTTTTCAATTCAAAAGGTTGCAGTTCCCTATTAAGCTCAGTTTTGCAATGACAATTAATAAAGCGCAAGGCCAAACGTTACAGGTAGCGCGGATCAACTTAGCAAAACCGTGCTTCTCTCATGGTCAGCTGTATATAGCATGTTCGCGTGTGTCAAATGCCCAGAATCTCCACATTCTTTCCCTGAATGGAAAAACATATAACATTGTGTACAGTATTGTCTTAAAATAGTATTCAGTTAGTTTTTTTTCCAAAATTCCCACAATCAATTAATCATAATTCCTACAGATCTTTCCTTTCAATTCAAAATTTCCTATTTAGCTCAGTTTCTTTTCAATTCCAAATGTTGCACCTATGACGGACCTATTAAGCTCAGTTTCCTTTCAACTCAAAAGGCTGCATCTCTGACGGATCTTTTATTTGGCTCAGTTTCCTTTCAATTCAGAAAACTGCATCTCTGACGAATCAATTTAGCTCAGTTTCTTTTCAGAAGTCTGCATCCCCTGACGGATAATTGTGCTCAGTTTCCTTTAATTAAAAAATATCCCATTTCCATTTGGAATAAACAGGCTATTTTCATGCTTTCCTGTACGCTGCGTTTCAAAACATTTAAATAGGCTGACGAATCAATTTTGCTCAGTTTCCTTTTAAAGGCTGCATCTCTGACAAATCTACAAAACTCAGTTTTCTTTCAATTCAAAAAGCAATGGATTGCCCAGTGACCATGCGGGCGAAGCCGCGGGTAACAGCTAGTATTATCATATCTGCGTAGTCTGTGACTCGCTTAATGCACTCGCTTAATGTATGCTGTACTAGGCACTTAAAAGTGATTCATTTAATTTCGCTTTTGGCGTGATGATTGTACCGCTTCAGGCTGAACTATGCAAATTCACTCGACCGGGAAGGACTACGCTCCCACAGAACCCCAGCGTTAAATAGCAACTCAGTTTTGACATGACTGGCAAGATGCATTGGCTGTACGCACGTATTTTAAGGTTTTAAGTACTGTTAAGCGCAGTGTAGGGTAACTATTCACTCTCCCCTGAACTTGTTCCTGCCTTGTCGTGGCGGGGACGATATTGAGTATTTTTCGAGACTGCATTTGTTGCATTTTATATAAAAGCATTATATCTAAATCTTTTTTTATAGTTGTTTGGTTGTTCTATTGCGTTTAACATGGCACCTACTTTACGTATTCGTTTTCCTCATCGTTCGAGTGTATCTAGCAGTGAGTCCTCGGTGTCATCCCGGACTCACTCTAAAACCCCTACTAACAAGTGTAATTTTATTTCTGAAGAAGAACTTTGGGCTTTTTCTGATCATTATGATTATTTATCCAGCAATCCAGGAATTTTAAACATTTACCTAACTGTTTATTATCCAGAATACATGTACCCGATTGTGCCAATGTGCGAGAAGTGTGTCAAACAAACATGTGTTAATTTTAAAATTATGAAGATTTTAGATTATTTATTCCCAGATGATTTTCCAAATAGTTTTAAGTCTAATTTTTATTGTTATTTGTGTAAATCTAGATTATTTGTGTCGCGTACATATATGGATTAAATAAAACTGCATTGCGATTGATTTATTTTTTATTTATAATCTTTCATGTATATACCAACCATGTTTATTCATTTCATCTCTTAATCTATTGAATATTTGTCCCCTGTCCTTTTCTGATAATGTTCTTAGTTTAAAGTTTATTGTTGGCCATGCGTTATTTAATGTTGTTTGTAGTCTTATTGTACGATCTTTGGGTTGTTTTTCCACTTTTATATATAACGGTGTTTTTATCTTGAAGTTGTCTTTAAGCTGTTGATCCGTTTCATACAGGTACATTATATTACCTATATTTTGACATCTTATAATTAATGTAGTTATATATTTTGGGTATATTGGTGTTGTTATTACTACTGGTGTTGGTGGTTTTTCAGGTTCTGGTGCTTTTTTTGCTGTATTGATTATTGCTTCTTCATGTTTCGGATTTTTTTTATCGTAATACCCTTGTTCCGGTATGCCCAAGTTTAAAAATTTGCCTGTTAGAAAAATCTTTTTCAGTGTTTCCATTTCTGCTAATTTTACTGCTGCTTGTCTTATACGTTCGTTTTCTTCGGCCACTGCAAATTTTTCATCGTCTGACACGCTTGAAGTTATTTTCTTTTGCCCTGGTATTTTTCCGCTCTTACGTATATTACTTGTTCTTTGTCTATTACTAAGTTTTCTCCGTCACTGTACCTTATTTTAGGTTGTTTAGCTTTGGGCTCTTGTGCTTCGGTTTTACGCTTTCATGCTCTAGATGGTCCAGGTTGAGGTTGAGGTTGAGGTTGAGGTAGAGGTTGTGGTAGAGGTTGAGGTTGTGTTAGAGGTTGTGGTGGAGGTTGTGGTTGTGGTTCTGGTTGTGGACGGGGTTGAGGTAGTTGCGGTCCTTCTATAGGTGTCGGTCGTCTGTCTTCTATCGTCATGTTTATGTTACCTGCACTGAATTACAATAGCGATTAATTATAAATTTATATTATATATTTCATAATTAATTAATATTGCCATACCTACTCTACTGCTGGTGCTCCGGCTATTGTATATTTGTTTTTCCATTTGTAATTGTCTATAGCTAAGCCAGAGAATAGCGTATTTGGTTGTGCCTTGCTGTATTTTCCCATCAGCAGGTTTTTTCCGTGAGATATGCATTCAATTTCTATGTTTGTTTCCACCATTATGTTTAATATTGCGTGTTCTAGACTCTCGTCCTTGTTTAACAACGGTATTATTCCCACTCGTATGCTTCCCATGAAATCTTTTTGAGCGTTGGTGTACAGTCTTCCTATTGTTAGATTGTCCACTGTCGCTTCTTCATATTTCTTTGTATTTGTTTTTAAACATGATACGGTTTTCACTCCTGCGTTTCCCGTGTGTAATATAATCGACATTGGCTCATTTCGAATTATGTAATCTGCGTTTTCGAATCCTTGTGAAATGTCCCGTCTTGGGGTTTGTATGTTTTTTCAAATATCGGTCCTATAGAGTTTGTCGCTTAGCAGCCGTGGCTTTATCACCTGCGGTAAACTAAGAGGAACCCACATGAATGGCCCGAGGAGTATGGGCGGCCCGAGGAGGCCACTCCTAGTGGGTTTGGTGAGCCCACTTCGGATGTGTGTCGGTGGGCTGCTGCGAGAGGGGCGCCCTCTCATCCTACCGCTGCAGTCGAGGTGGAGGCATAGAGGAAAAGGAATTCTGGTGAGGCTGTGCGTCACTCGCCCTTTCCTCCGCGACTCTGACGCTTCCTCACCGTTAATTGATGTGTTGGGTCTGCGGGGCGAGAGGAGTGTCATTATTACGAGGCACCACTCTACCTACCCTCCGCAGCTGAATCTTGGTTGGCGGCGGAGCCAAATACCACATCCGCAGCTGGGGTCAGGAGGGCTAGTGCTTCTGTGTGCTCGTTTTTCCTTGCCCCATGGCCTTCGCGCATCGGACACGGGGGAATGGAGGCAGCGGAGAAGAGTAAGCCATGTGTTATGGTGCGCTTTACCTGAGAAGGCGCAGGGGGAGGAGTATTCCTCTCCCGAGGAGGGGCCGCCATGGGGCGGCCAGGGCTGGAGGGGCCGCGGATGTGTGTGAAAGCGTTCTCGTGGCCCTACCAATATGCGACAAACGTAAAACACCATTGAGTTTTAGTCGGTGGGAATCTGACATAACTCTTACATGCTAGGCGGATATGAGTATGCGTTTCCCTATGTAAAAAAGGGTGACCACACACTAAACGGATTGACAACCCGTTAAGACCTCTGAAGGGCTGTAATTATTACGACGAGTGTTATTAACGTATATTTAATTTTAAAATTACACAACATTAAAATGTACAATGTTTAACGATAATAAAAAGAAAATAAAACTTTTACTTTATTTATTTATTATATTAATATAGATTAGATAATAAAATTTTACTTTAAATTAAATCAAATGAAAAAATTATGTGACTGAATGAAATAAATTTGGCAGGTTAGACAGTCTGGTGCGACAGATACGAGTACATGACAACGTAAGCGGTGTCACGACAGCGACGAATTTTCCAGGCGACGTGTAAATTGCACGATGCCTGTGTGTTTCAGCGAGAATAATATATTCGTGGGTAAACAATAGCTCTATAATTTTCAAGTAATTTTTTTGTATTTGAAGGATGTTTTATTTGATTTCATACGCTTTTTGAATTGCTCGCAATGTATTGACAGTTGTTACAAAGAATTTATATTACCCGCATTATACTGTGACACTTTATTCCATAAATAATCAAGGTAACAAGATACAAATAATAAAGGCAATAATTATTAATACACAAATATCTCTTATGTTAGTAATTTATGTTAAGCTAAATTTTCAGCCTATATACTTCTCACTGCAGGGCACAGATCCACATTTTTGAAGTGTTTTATAAGCTATTAGTACGTCATGCTGCTCCATTGTCTGTGACTTCACAATACGTCTTTCTCATGATGATTTTCTTCACTACACGAGTGCGTGGTAAATCAGCATTGAAAATTTTGACTAACAATTTTATTGACACTAGTGAGGATAGAACCTAGGTTGCTCGGGTACATGGAGTATGAATGTATTTCTCGCATCTTATCGTGGCCTGTTCACTCATGGAAACCCATATGGCTGGCTCGACGTGGCCTCATCAAGTGGGAAAGCCCATTTGATGTGGCCGTTACGGCAAGGGAGTCCTCTTTCTCTACATCCGTAGCCGATGTAGGGTCGCGGAAGATGAGTAGTGATGGTATAGTGATGTGCCACTCACCCCATCCTCTGGGACACTGGAGAGGCTGCACGGTTGATGCGTTGATGGTGAGACCGCGGGCAGAGAGAAGTGTCAGTATTAAGATGTGCTGCTCTCTCTAGCTTCCTACCGCTGATTCTGCCGCTAGGTACAGAAAGGATGGTGTTTTCGAATTCTCGTTTTCCTAGGCCCCTTAGCCTTCGCGCAGCTGCAGAGTAAGGCGCATCTTATATTCTTGTGCGTCTTTCTTGAGAAAAGAACGATTTAATTTTAAACATTATTTAAGATTACTGAAACCTATTTGCATTTTGCAAAATTGTATAATTTTGACATTGTACTATTCACGACAAAGTTGATCTAACATTACTTGTCGTGTTATGTTATTGCTTTACTTTACCAACATATTATCTCACTATACATTTATGAAAATATATGTTATAACCACATCAATGTCTGCATCACGATTATTCACAGAATGTAATAAGTTCACTATGTGATTTTACGCTCATCGCCTAGAACTATTTTGTATTTATGTACCCACAAGTAGTTTGTCAAATAGAAACATAATATTTAATGCACATAATTTAAGTTGATAATAATAATTTAATGTATTTTAATGTGTTAATTAAAATAATGTGTAGACAGCAATGGTGTACGGAAAAACTCTAATGAGTTTATGTTTACACTAAAACTATTTATTTTTGTAACCATAAATTTCTTAAATAAATAAATAAAAAAACTAGTTGTCCTCGCCTGAGGATAAACATGTAGCGGCCGGCATCGATGGGGCCGCATATAGGTATGAAGGCTCTCCCGTAACTTAGTGCCATGAAGTTTTAAACGGTGCGAGTCCAACAACATAACCCGTCTTTGATTGAGTATGAACATTATGATGGGAATATTTCATTTAATTATTAAGCCATATTTTAAAAGCTAGTGTTTGGCCCCAATCCAACGCAGCGGTAAGTAGTGATGAAGCCCTAGATAGTAAGTCTCGCTGTCTAAGCGTAACAAAAGCCTATTCACTCTAGCCTTGATGACGTATTTGGGCGGAAACAGACGCCGGTAAATTTTTGCACTCTTTTGCTGTACGCATTACAAAATACGAAGCAAATAATTTGGTTCTAATTCGTTGAATATCGAAAAGAAAGAGGTGAAAACACGGCAATTGCCTGATTGTCCGACGGCTGTAAAGTGAGGGAGGGATCAAAACATTTAATTAACGCGCACACGCTCCGTAATGCATGCTATTGAATACCGAGAGGCTGGCTACTCTGCGCTTGTGATCTTAGCTAACAAAATTGGTTTAAATCAGATCAAAGTTACCAAAAAGTCTCTCTACTGAGTTCAATGCTACTGGGTGGCATTTTGCAGCACCAGTCCACTACTTCTTAGGTCTAGTAGCTTTTCTACCAATAAATATACGTCACGTCAACAAAATGAATGAAATACTCCATCGCTTGACGTATCACAGCAGCTCGACGGGTCTTAAGACAACGAGCAGAACTGCCGTCAAGGATTAGATATGCTTGATTTACCATCTGTGAGAGCCTAAGCAATGACGGAAAATTCCACGCTTCCCTCCCAGCGTGGTCGGTCTTCTCGTATGGAAACAGTCATTCCTGATAACAGACATTAAATTCCCCTATAAAAACCTGCTATATAGGAGGAGGGTTCTGATTTAGAGTCACGTCACAGGCCTCACTGAGGTATTCAAATAGCAGATTCGCCTCCGGTTCGCTATGCGATCTGTAGATACAAGAATAAATTATTTTATCGATTTATGTGTCTCATTAATCATGAAGAAAGTGGGATTTTCAAGGTGATGGAGATGCTATGTATATTTGATGATACAGTAGATGTCGTTGCGAACATACGCACAGACTCTGACCTTTATTAATAGTAAGTATTATACTGATAATACCGTTTGAGTATATCGCAGTAAGCTAGATAAGAGAGCTAGATAAAGGATATAATGGAGACTATTTAACTTGGAAAGGCTGCAATGGATGGATGAGTTCAATAAAAGCGTTTACATTGTATATTACCAGCTTGTGCCTGTTTCAAATAATATAAAACCGTTACTTACTCAGCTCTGTCTGTGTATTCCCATAAAACTTTAAGCTACTCAATCAATTTTTTGAAATAAATTTTGATGTATCGCTGTATACGAATATGTCGATGTTCTCAAATTTTTAATAGAACTTTTGATGTGTACAACTTAAGAGCCGTATTCATTAATCGTATTACATTAATGAACCCAAAATGAGTACAATGAAACAAAAACTTAGCTTGTGGGTTACAATTTACAGTGAAACTAACGCGATTGAAAATTGAGCCTTTAAACCGTGATGTCATTATTTATTGGTGTTTACAAAATTATATAATTTATCTGGCGGGAAATTTAAAAACAATTTTGCATATCAATTAAATGGAATAATTATTTAATAGAGTGTAAGATATAGCCTTTTTGATATTTATTCCTTCATATAATAGGCTTCGCCATTCAGAAGCTGTTATAAATACTTAATATTTTAAATAGCAAAATAATAAAAACAATAAGACACCAATCTTACGTATAAACTATAAAATATATTGGTTACAATTTATTTTTATAATGGTTGCGTTATGAATGTATAGAGTAGCTCTGATTTTCCTGTTAACCAAGCCATGCGCACTTTTGATCGTACAATACCATCCTTCCGTTCGCCAACTAGTGCGCTAATTAGATCAGAATTATGTAAACGTGTGTACCTATGAAAAAACTATTTTTTCGTTTTAAACAAAACCAAAGACACTATGCAATAGATAATAGTATCAAAGACAAAGATATGCTCTTTTATTTTAAACCATAACCTGGCAATGTTTCTTAGAAAAAAAAAAGAAATCACTCTGAACTTTCGGCGTTCCACGCATAGATAAATAAATATGTAGCAAGCTACAGATACGACAGTGACTTTTAGTCAAGTTTCCCAATTACGCCTTTTGGCGCTGCAGTCGCCCAATTTGACAGATGAGTAATGACTATACAATTTAGTATAGCTATGTATAGCTTAGGGATTGCAAGCACACATCCTTCAAATTATCGATATCGATATTTAGTGGTGTTCTTATTTTATCGATATCGACATAAGTGCATTATACAGGAATAAT